AGGCAAGTGAACTCTGTCTCAGCAGAATGGACCTAGCAGAGTTTAAGTGCATTTGCAGTTGGCTTTGCCCCCATGGGAYAGAGCCCATAAATCAGCCAGGCATCCCGTTCTTGCAACCTATTTACTTTCTTCATGTGAATTTGTAAAATGTTCGTCAAGCTTAACCTGACAGCGTTCTTCAAAATGTTTTTCTTATTTGTTTTCTAGATCCACGTTTTCCCAGATTTTAAATGAGAGTGTGGCCTCTGCATGGTGCCTGGCAAGAAAATAAGGGGTAAATATTGGTGCTGACTGTGGACTTTTGACAGGCAAAATCCTATGAAAAGAAGCTGCTGGAGGGCAGAAGCGTTGCAARCTCATGTGCTGGCAAGAACATGGTGTCCAGCATATACCAGGAAACACAGAGCAGCTGACTGCCAGGGACCCTGGTGGAAACACTCCTGTGCCTAGGCTTCAGACATAAATTTAGCTTCTCTGTAGCAGCAAGGAAAATATTTCAAAAGAACATAATTGGGAGCTGTGCATGAGTGACACTAACGGGGGCCAAAATCAGACTGATGTGCTCCTTACCACTGAAGCAAGACTCAAATGGTTGGGATGCTACCTTGACTACAAGAATGGATAGATACAAGAATCCAAGAATGGATTTCACCTCTCAGTTCCATACACATCATGGTATTTAGTAAGCCATGAAGCTGGCAGTACTTTAATGTTATACCTCTGCACATCTGCTGCTTGGTAAGAATAACGTGAGCTACTGCATAGGTCTCAGGGATGTAAATGTTGAGAGGCAAGTTCCCTTATGGATCACAAATGAAAGGAAGCTGGCTTGCACTTGGAGTTAAGTGATCATGTCGTGTTTTAAATGAGATGCCCCCCGGAGCCTGCAGAATGAGGTCTCTCCATTTGTCTAACAACAAAGTYCCTCCATTTGTCTGCTCGAAAGGCAGTAACATCAGAACCTGCTTCAGCTGGAGAGCCCCGGCAGCCACAGGAGCTGATTATTGCATCTCTGCACCCATCAGTCCTGGGCTTCCTGCTGACTGAAATCTGTCAACAAAGGCTCTTCATCTGCACCAGCCTGGCCCTGACTTTGTGACACAGACCACTGCCCATTCAGACGGGCATGACACACCAGTCAACAGCAGCATCACTTAGTGCTGACCCAAGAAAGAGCTGAATTAYGATTCTGATGGCTAGGTAAGAAAAGCCGCAGCTGAAGCATCACAGATGCTTGCAAAAYAAAAGAGCAGCACAGGAACCTATTCCTAAGCCTCTATCCTCTTGGTWCCTACCTAAGGTAGAGTTTTCCCAGCCGATGTCCTTGAGAATATTTGGTGTCATCATATAGTGCAGCCTGGTAACTTGTTTCAGCTTATGAGAGGTTTTGAGGATCTGAAGCAGGGACAATCCAGGTAAGGAATGRACAGAATGCATCCAGCACAGCTACAGTCTCTGCTACTAAATCCCTTGTTTGTATGAGCTTCAAATACAGCACAAAATAACATACTTCTCATCTGATCAAGCTCCCTTTTTTAAAATATTCTAATTCAAAGTTTCCAATTTGGGAGGAAACAGAGACTAAGCCTCAACTAAGAGAGGGACCTGAAAGAGTTCTCCATTTCCCAGTCCAGACRCTTGTGCTGGCTGTCTCCTGCCTCCACGTGCAGATCCTAGATGAACACCTACCAACACCTCCCAATTCCTCACCCACATTCTCATTTTCTTGCACTTTCAGAACCATGGATTTTTCCAGATTTAATCTTCAGAACCACAGATTTTTCAGACAGATTTTCTGTCTGAATGGACTGGGGGACCAAAACTGCAGAGCATGCTGAAGTCCTCTGCAAACAGCAGTTTACCTGCAACCTTTGAGACAAAACCATTTTAAATCTAAATGCCTGTGCAGCATGASAACTGAGGCCTCCAGTCTAGGATTTCTGCACTTCTTTGCCTAGATAAGAGACAAGAGCTGTAAGCTGGGCTTTAATTAGCAGAGTGTGAATGGACAGCAAGGAAGGCACCTTGGATGGCTYGAGCAGCAGCAACAGTTAATCCATAAAGCCATTTTCCAGCCCTGGCTATTAGCCTCAGGGAATCTCACCCACCATGTACTCTTAAGTGGTACTGTCATTACTGATAACCCTGCGTTCACACAAACAAATTAAAATGTGCCAATCTTCAYAGCTGTGAGTGAATCTTCAGTGGAAGCTGGGAAGTCTCCTGGGAATCCTGGTGGGCAAAGGCCCAGTTMACTACCACCGCACCAAGGCAAGACCTGTTCTGGTCCAGGCAGGATAAGAAGCAACTCCCTTTAACTAGGATGGAGAAATATAAGGATTTCCACACGAGTCCCATTCAAATGAAATGGAAAAGTTGTGCCCTGGCTGAGGGGACAGCCTAACAGGCCTCACACATGCAGCAGCCACCTTTTTTAATAAACAGGAGAAAATCTCATTAACCTGGCTTCATTTCACTCACATTAAACAAGAAAATAAATAATATCAAAAAAGTAGCATCCATCTCCTTACAGGGGAACCATGTTGAAAAGCGTGGCTATGTGAATGTGTGGGATTAAGCAGGCTGCTAGATCTCACGTTGAGGCCACTACCACAGACCTTTTGTTCATCTCTCAGATAAGTGGTGAACTTTGAAAATAAACACACACAAGAGGAGTGCCCTGAAGCTGATGGCAAAGCACCCCAGGGAGCTACAGCGGGCAGACAGGCCTAAGGCTCCACTCGGTGAGGCAGGAAAGGAATGAGTCAGTCCCACCATCAGCAAAACTCACTGTGTTTTGTGTGTTTTTAGTGTTTTGTGTGTGTCCAAAGTGCTCACGGGCAAGAACACGCGTGGAGCTGGTGTGTCAGGGTGCAGRGCCACCCCTGGGAGCCGGCACACGAGTGGAGCAGGGCAACAGGAGCAGTGCCTGGAAGCACAGGGGGGTCTCAGCTCCCCACAAGCAGAGGCAGCACAACCCACGAAGGTCAGCAAAGACCTGCAACTTAGGCTGTTTGGCTTTTCTGGCCACAAACTAATGAGAAAGTCTAATACAGAAGAGCTACATACACATATAGTACGTGCATATAATTCCATAAACACAACTTTTCTGAAAGTGAAAATGGCCATTTTGCAAGACAATTTTTGTTTAGGTAATCAAAAACTGTCTGAAAAACAACTGGCTTTTAATTACAGTGGCCTTGCTAAAGATCTCCATTCTTAAGATAATATTGGAATCACACTATAATCTTTAGGAGGTTATACAATCACAYGCAGTGCTTACAATAACAAGATATAAATATCACTTATTTTATTACTTTATTACTTACGTGATTTGGAACTGAAATATCTCTTGCTTAATCTCATCTACATGATGAATAYGGTTGCACTACTTGTGGCAAATCACAACAGACGTTTGGATTACTCAATAATGCTGAGCTGARAAAAATGTATCTAACTAGCTGGTGCAATTTTTAGTAGCCAAGTATATTTTTAGAATGCAGAAGGAAAAAGACCAGTCAGGAGAAGACTTGTAAAAGAAGCCAAGATAACATATCAGAAAGAGATGTATGCAAAAAGAAACACCTAGAGCTCAAGGAGGCCAGAGAGACATTTAAACTTTTGTTTCATGCCCTCCTAGGATTAGTAAGACAACAGTAAGCCCAGTTATATAAATCTTATATGATGCAGAACAATATTTGACACCAGCGTAGCCAGTCCTCAGAGAGGGGCACTGCTCATGGATGTTTTAGAGTTGTGCTCTGCTAGGGAGACTGCAGAGCCATGAGAGAAGTTTATGTAACCAGCAAGGACTGCACAGTACATAACTCAGTGCAGGTCAKAGGGTGGAATGTGATGAACAATTTACATTAAGAACCTGACGTTGATGACTCTGAATGGACACTTTATGGAGCAGAGGCACTAAAGAATATTCCTGTACTGTCATCAAGGTAACCTGCAAGTATTGTCGGCGTGAGCTGCTGCTGCTGGCAGCTCTACCAAACCAGGGAGAACTAAGTAAATGAAAGAAACAGGAGWCTGGTTCCTTGCAGTGAAAAAGGCTGAGCCTTTTAGTTGGAGAACCATGACATTAAAGATGGAGAGTCAGAAAGAATGACATTAAACATCAGGAGGAATTGTATGCTGGAACTCACTAATTCCATGGAGACAGGGCAACCTCCCAYGTTTGAAGACAAAAGAGTGTAGGAACAGGGCACAGTGTGGGGAAAGCCACCTTCAGACACACTGCTGATACACCACAAAAACACTGGYGGTTCCTTTGACTCTCTTAGGCGCTGCTAAGAACATAGCCTGTTCATCTTGTGTGTATATCTAGCATTGCTCCTCATGCTACACACCGTGTATTTCGTTAATGTTCTTATTATCTAAAACTATGCCTTACAACTTCTATTTTATTCCTAGGTAAAGTAGGAATGAAGTACCTTTATTCTGTAGGAATTCTCTAGGAGGAAATAGCTTCCTTCTAGAGATAAGGAATCTCCTTATCTCTCTTTTCATCTTCTCATTCATGCTGCCTTCTTGATGGGTTAATTAAAAGAGCAATGCAGAGATGGTCAACATGAGCACACACTGCTTTGCAAAGGAGGGAAAGAAGAAGGGATATGAGCCCATTACTGAGGCTCCAATAGTGGCAACTTGTCAAACTGTGACAGATCCTTGTCATGTGCCCAGTCCCGAGCACTGATCCATCCTTGAAAAGAAGCCGTCACTGGCACCAATATGATGCCAGGCTGCCAGTCGGGGACAGCACAAAGTGGAATCACRGGAATCCTTGGGCTTCCTTCTCCCTCTTTTTTGGTGACTGAACATCTGCATCACCAACAGAAGGAAGCTTAGGGGTTTTTTAAGCACTCTCCACACAGGAGATGGTATTTACCCCTTTCTAAACTGGCTCTAAATTATGTTGATTTGGAAACAAGAGAAGCAGGGTCAAAAATGACGTTACGTGCAAGAAGGTATCAGCTGCAGCAAACACCTACCTTTGTGGTATATAAAACATGTGCTGTGGAGGAGGTTTGTAGAGGACTCCTCCGTATACAGGCCACAGACCACTTAAAATTCTGAAAAGAGAACTCTTTCCACAGCCATTGGGTCCAGTGATTAGAAGATGCATCCCCTCCTGCACCTACAATAACAGTGAAAGCAACAGAATGGAAGATGTTACCAGGGTATAGAAAGATCCCCTAAAGCAAGTTATACAAGACATTGCATCAAATTATCAAGCCATTCCATTAAAACTTGCACATCTTTTAGCAGCTGCTCTAGAAAAAACAGTTTTAGATGCAATACATCGGCTGAAATGATAAAAATAACTGAATGACAAAAATAATATGCACTATTTCCAGAATGACAGATTATTATTTTCTAGAAGGACACAAATCATTAAATTGGAAACATTTTTCTTTTTTTAAAACTATTTGGGTGCTTTGTGTTTTAGAATTAAAACCTGAGCATAGTTTATTTCTAATACATGGCAAAAACATTGAGTCCCACTATCTGGAAGATGGAAGGCATCACATGTCACAATCTAGAACAACTCCAATAATTTCCAATAATCCTTTTGGTGCATTTACAAACATTTCTTTCAGACTCTTGCTTGCACTAGTTTCAATACAAAGACATCATAATATGTTAAGGGCAATCGGTTATTTATAGGTATATTCAAACATTATAAAAATTACCTACACTGATTATATCAGAATATCAATAAACCACAGTTGGGATCAATTATTCTAATGTGGATCATGCCCAAAGGGGGYAACAGCCTACAGAGCAGAGCCATATCCATCGGGAACACTAATATAAGCTATGCAAGCAACACTGAACTCCACTCTGCCTCTCCCTGCTTCATTAACARTGGTATTCTGGGTGTGATGATGTTTATTCATCGGAATATAAATCTGTGTATATATAAGAATGTATATTTATTCATAATCACACTGTCTGTTTGACCTTAAAGCTGTAATTGTCCAACCTGGCATCCCCACACTGCAGCCGCTGCAAGTTTTGCATAGCTGGGACCCTGTCCTCAATTCTTATGCACACACAGAGATGACAACAGGAACAGCCTGTTCTAGCTAAACTGAAGGACCTGCTGTAATTATTCATGTATAGTGTTCTGATAACTCCACCTGTTTCTAAAAATAGCAATATCTGCAATGAAACGGGACATATATGAGGGTGATTCAGTAAAACCATTAATTACAATTGYGAGCAGGTAAAAGGTGGTATTTTTAAGAGCTTTTTAAAAGCAATTGAAGCTTTCACTGAGCAAAGACTCCACAGTTGGGCTTGTCAACTATGCTGTCAACTATTAGTAACTATGGCCTTTTGTGGTGAATAAGTTAAATTACAGACTCATTTTTTTTCATGATTGATATGAACTCTGATTTTTTAAAAGGAACCTAAGGGAATAAAGCATCCCAGTTCCACTGAAATTGAGACTGATGGATGCAGACTATCACAGAGGCCTTTGAAAATCACACGTGTGTTTTTTTGGTTTTTTTTTTTTTTGGATCTGGCAAAAGCACCAGAAATCCTCTCTCCTCTGTCTGAGCAGGATAAACTACACATATCTGCCTCTATTGAGCTACTATGCCTACCTTTCTGGACTTCCCCTTTTATCCATATGCTCCTCCAAGTACTTAACATAAAGTACATGAATTCTGTCCTGTTTATGTTAATGTGATGGCAACAATCAGAAGATTCTTGCATAGCATCTTACTTTGATGTTCAGTCTGGAAACCACCACATCGCCGTTCGGAGTAATAATGGGAACATTTTCACAAACAATTCCATGATCAACATCAATAACTCTGCCTAGAAATAAGAGAAGAGCATTYAGAGTCAGTGAAGATTTCTATTCAAAAATCCTAACTGATTATCTCCATGCCCAGCTTAGAAATATAAATTGGTAGGTTTTGAACAATTCTTATAYGCTCCAGGTACCCCAGTAGAAACCTGGATGATATATCTGGAGGATAGAAAGAAACTCCATATTACCATAAACATTATGCATCCTATAAAATATATCACAAGTAAAGCATTACAAACACATGTTTATTCACATTCAGTATCCATTTACTGTATTTTGCTTAAAATAGGTAGTCAATATCCATCAAAAAATGTTCAAGAATGGGCTTAGACACAGGCAGACAAGCTCCYCTTCCTTCTCCTGAAGATTTTATTTGAAAATAAAAGTTCCTTTTGCTAYCAGCTCTCACTGTAAGCCCAGTTCCAGCTCCTCTAGCAATGAGAGCAAAGGAGGAAAAGCTCAGCAGCTTATTTCCAGTTCTTCCTGAAGCCACACAGACTGTAAAGGCCTCTTGTAAATATTTGTGAAAACACTCTATTATCTGTACTTGCTACTGGGAGTTTGTACAAGCTTAAACACACAGAGTGATGAAACATTTGGGTACTCTGTAACAAATTCATGAGAACTGGTAGATAAACTTTTCTGGGAAAAACTTTTCTAGTCTTTATAAACAAGAAGCAAAGAAGAGGTATTTCTCCTTGTAAAAGAAGGCTGTATATTTAAAACTTAAACTAACCAGGAAAAAAGAAAATTATATAAATTTATAAGGGATGGTTTAAAAGAAAATAAGTACTATGTAGTAAAATAATCTCTTTTGGGAAGCCTAATACTRAGATTTTTGGTTTTTAACAATAGAGGCCTACACATATGTGTGAGCATTTGTACTTTCATCCCTATGCAAATCCACTCTGATGGGATTTCTGAAGTATCCAGCATGAAAGGAAGCAGTAGAAACAGTTTTACAATGGAGCTTGTCATCAAAATCACAGGGCCTGTGGCCTAGATTCATCCGGCCTAAATTCCCCGTAAAWCTCTGGGAATACTGCTCCCCACCGGCTAAATGCCTCCCAAAACCCCTAACTTGTCAAAAAGAAACACTGCCCACAGTGACTTCCGAAGAATCTAGGCTCCATGAAGTTTGCAACTGCAATGGAATCAAATCTTGGAAAAAAAAAAAAGATGGAAACATGAACATTCTTTCATATCTGTATTTGTTTTTAAACGATACTTCTTCAAAATACAAATCCAAGAAGGGCCCCAGCATTATTTCAGTCTCCTACGAAGTGCAAAATCTTTTTTTTTTTCTTTTTTCTCCTRGGACATCTCAAAACATAACACAGAGAATCATCTATTTTACTGGCAGTCAAATACTACCAGCATCTCCAAGATTAAGCAAGCAGCTGTTTCCACAGGCAGCCACTGTGCTGCAGCCAGCTGTTCTGCAAAGCCTGTCAGAGCATTTTGAGACCCTGTCAGAATTTGTCAAAATACGTTATTTCATAAAAGCACTTTGGTGTCTTTATCTCTAACTAGATTTAAGGGATTTTCACTGAGAGGGAATGAGGCTCTTCARCAATGAAGATGAGGGGGGAAGTAGAAGGAACTACTGAGGAAACTGCAACAAGCCCATGGCAAATGTGTGAAACAGCCGAGAGAGCAGCTCAGCGAAAGAGGCAGGATGAGATTGTGCAGAACAGAGCACAGCAAGAAAGAYGTGGACAAAAGATGCTGTGGGGAGGCTGCAGACAGAGATACCGACACCAGAAAGATACAGGCTAGAGAGGGGAGGAATTAACAGTGGTACATGCTGGAATGGCTGGTATTGTCAGGGATCAGGAAGATGGTGAGAAGGGTAGGGTTGTCAGCACATTTTCACTTGAAAATTGCCACTAAAAAATGAGAAAATGAGCACAGGCTGACTTTTTTTTTTTCCTTTTTTTTTTCCTATTTTTTTCTCTTTCTTTTTTTTTAAGCAGCTGAAAATAAATTATTGCTCTTGTCAAAAATTAACAAACAGCTCTCTTGCTCTCTTTCTCTCCTATTTCAAATACACTAAGAAAAATTGAAATTTCTTCTTTTCTAGAAGAAAACATTTGAATCTTCCTCAGACAAGTGAGATGTTAAGTACTGGGAAACACTTTAAATGCATCAGGAGAAGGAAGGCACTGCCCTTATAATGATAGCAACAATAGCACTACCAACAACAATACTGTAAACAAAGTGCCCTTTTTCACTGAAAGTTTTCACAAAAAAAGAGCAATCCTAGAGAAAATATATTAGAAGGAACTACAGCAATAACCTGTAGTTAAAAAAAAAAGAACACAATTATGTGAGGAATATAAAATGGGAGACAACATGGAGATTAAAGTGAGAGGTGGGAATTGCTGTAAAAGCAGAAGCTTTGTTCACTGTCCCACCTCACCAGCAAGACTCCCCCCCCAGAGAAATATATAAAAATGTAAAATAATTACCCTTGATTTCTAAGGGCCCCTCAATGTGCAATTCTGCTTTATCTTGATTCTTCTTGTTGCTTTTGGACTCTTGAACAACAGCAGTTCTTTTGTAGATGCCTCTTTTTACTTCATCAAAGACTGAGAACATGTTGTAGACCCGGGCCGTGTAGCCTGCTAGTTCAGTAACCTGAGAAATAATAAACGTCCCATTTCAGTCAAACTTTATAAATCTTTCAGTGAAATACTTGGTCAAAAATACAAGAAAAACATTCCCAGCTACTTTGAGTCAAACCTCYTCAAATGTTACTCTGGAAGAATTTATTCTTTGAGACTCTGTGCTATCCCCTATTATTATTTTTTATACTAATGAGCATATAGAAAAATTCTGAGGGGAACAAATTTCAGACAAGCTAAATCATTGTAACTCTAGTAAAAGAGGAGATTGCAGGAACTGTTCAATCTTCAATCTGCAAAGATCAACTGCCAGAATATGTCCAAAAAGAGAACCTACAATACAAGAGAAACCCAAAATCTCTGTGTTCTCCAGCAAGATAAAGATCAATAAAAATAAAAACTGATGCCCATAATTATTTATTTTCAGTTTTCTGTACTGCCTAAGCCTTCTATGTGAAAGGAAYGCTTTCTACATATAGAACAGGTAGCACAAGGGTGTATCCTAATCTAGAGTATGGTACAGAAACTAATTGGCCCTCCAAGTATGTCAACTGCATGCCACATTACTAGAGTATAATCTAAGACCTTAAATTAGAGCTAGGAATTGTTAGGCTGACGAGGTCTCTTTAAAGGCTTTCTCCTTTTCTCAGCTTTTTTTTTTGACAGTTGCCACCTGGTGAACACAGAAATCCAGGTCTCTGGGACCCTTCTTAAGTTCTGGGCACGTTTCACTGTTTATGCAAGATTAGGTGGGCAGCAGCAGTCACAGTCACGGGGCCATCACTCCCAGGAGGTCTGCAAGCCTAGGAGAACTCAGCTAAAAAAGTGCAACAAATGATGCTACTCTGTAAAGTTTAGGCTTCATCACTAAGTGTATTAGCATCTGTGAAAAGTATTAGGTTAACAGCAGTTAGGTCAGTAGGTAGCATACAGGAGCTGTAACATCATCCTCCCAGTGGAGCTTTCCTAGCAACCTCAGGAGGAGCTTGTGCCAGGGCTCAGCACTCCATGCTGATGATGAACCTCCACCAGTTCCCCCCACAAGAAAGATAACTAGGTATGAGCTTCTAAACCATGACCCTACACATCCATACATACTAGCATTTAAACTGCTGACCTGCAAATAAAAGCTGGGCCTGCAAGATGAGTTACTGGAATGAGGCTGCTTTGGTGGATCAAGTGGCTAAGAATTAGTACTTCACTGCCACTTGAAGTGCACTGATAATGTTATTCTTTGGAAACTGAATCATGAAACAGGCTAAATATTGCATAGTATATCTTCAACAGAATTATAAATATAAAACTAAGAKGGAAATTCAACGAATTGGTCTTGGATCTCATGCTGTCTGGCTTAAAATCTTACCATGTTATAAATCATGAGTTCATTCATTTGCTACTATTACTGCTTGGATGCTTTTGATTCCAAACAATAAAACTGCCATGCTTGTAAGTTTCTGTGCACATTATATAAATTAAATATTTAAAATAAAACAGAAGTAACATCAGTGTTCAATTGGTTATCTGGCAGTCTCTTCAGAGCAGAGGCCAAGCAGCAAATTAGCTGAAGCAGCACAGGTCAAAGTCACTGTCCATTAGAAGTATTCCCTGCAGAGAAAATAAAGATTCTGGCTTTGCTGCAGTCTGTATTTGAAGGCTCTGAACTACCTCTCCTCTCCAATTTAAAAAGCTGTAGTTAGTACTGCTGGATTCCACGTAATGGATTCCAGGGTCTCCAATTAGCTGCCTGCGCTTTCTTCATGCTGCACTGGGAAAGGGATTAGGAAAATCCAATCAAACAAATGCAGACCCACATTAGGCAGGAAACGTTGAGGAGAATAATGGAGACTAATGGTGCTGTCTCATTTTCCTTTTGCTAAATAGCAAATATCCAGGAGAGACTACCTCCTCTAGGTAAATGCCCAGCTTTGCCTGAATTCAGATAACAACCTGAAGCCAAATCTCCAACCTTCCAGGTGAACTTCCTGCATCTCCGGGCCATCTCTAATGGGGTTCTATAATGGATTTTTCCTGTTAAAAGTTTTCTACTTTGCAAAATTACTTACAGCTTAACAGGATCAGAAGGTTCTGACAACAACTGCACAGTTCAGGTGGTCAGAAAGTAAGAATGCAAGACAACCTGAAGTCCCTGCTCCACACAGCAGAGAGATTTGAGCTTCTAGCACTCACACTCCAGGAACCTCTAGTGCTCTCAGGTGGTACTTGAACACAAATATTCTTCTATGTTGGACCACACTGGTAGCTGAGCTCTTCAAACTCACCGCAGACTTAACTAAAGACATGACTATAAACTCAAAGATCTCTTTGGATTTAAGTGCAATAGAAACTTGACTTRAAGAATGGCACTTTTTCAAGACACAGTTTACATTAAATGTTAATTCCATTTTGCTTTTATTTCTCCCTTTTCTGTTTTGTGTGTGATTAATGTACACACCTCCTTGTACGATGACATAATTCTTTCAATAGCATCTGCTCCAGAAATCAGCAGRTTTCGTGATGTAGTGAAAGCTTCTGTCCGTTCACTAACCATTGCCTGTTTCTGGCCATCTTCTAATTCTACAATTAGAAAAAAAAATGTTATATTTTTCTTCTGAAAATTATCTCCACAAATTAAATCATGGTTAAAATGARAGCAGTAGTAGAAGAGGTTTTAAATGGAAACAAGTTTAGCTCTGTGAAGACAACCTCTGTGAAGAAAATCTGTGAGTGTATTTAGCATAGATACTTCAGTAATGAGGACCAAGTGGGAGGATATGGAATTCATTTGATTATGCAAAACATCCTGTTGATTTCTACTATTTGCTTATTTAGATAATTTTCTTCTAATACACTATTATTTCAACATACATWTTAGCAATGCAAAGTGAAACTGAAGCAATGATCTGAAAATGATTTTAATTGAATTTAGATTTGTTATTAATTTTAGTCTTACATTATYACTCATTTCATGTGAAAGAAAATATTCATGTTGATGCAAATTTGTAACTTTTTTTTTTAAAGAAAGCAGTAAGTTCTTTCACTATCATGAGCATGTTTTTAAACAGGATCCTTCTTTCTCACAAGCCTGTCTGTTGACCTGACCCAAATGCRAAGTCAAAATCTTTTGTCTATGACACCACATCCTGTCACCAAGAGAACTCTTGCTCCAAAAGAAAGAGCTGTATCATGGGAACATATCTGCAGCAACTGGCAAAGAGAAACAGCAGCATAAATTGTAGAAAGTAGGTGAGATATTTATGCTTACAGTTAACTGTAACCTACACATATTCTTGCTACCACCTGACTTGCAGAAACTTTTATGTAACCTACAGACAATTTATAAAGTTTCCTTTRTGAAGGGGTCAAGACTAAAAACACGACTATCTTAAGACCACATATCGTTTTACTGTTAACGGTGGCGTCTACCAAAAACTAGGACAACAGCATGTGGTAAACCACACTTACCAGAAGCTTCAGTGTGAAAGACCAGAAGAAAAGGTCTCAAGAGTTTTTTGCCTCACATAATTTAATTTATCTATCTATATCTATCTATCTATATATCTATATATCAGGTATCTATATCTATCTATATATCTATATATCAGGTATATCAGATATATCTATCTATATATCAGGTATCAGGCTAGAGGGACTAATAGGTAGCTCCAGTGTGGCAACTCCTGTATTTCCATCAGTTGGTAATATATATATTTTTTAAATGATGTTTGCATAGTGGTTAAGAAAAGCTTTGAGGAGTAATTTCACAGGCTAAATTAAGACAATTCAAAAAGTATTTCTGTACTGGTAARTAGCTGTGTCACCTTCCTGACATGATCTGATTTCTGCAGTGTTTAGAAATCTGCCCGCAGTACCAAAGCCAGATTTACCTTTCTGCCTCTCTTTCCTTTTTAAGATACTTAAATCTAACTGCTGTTCTGTTTTCACTCACATCTCCAAAAAGACATCTTTGAAGAGTAAGATCTAAAACACTGAAATACACTAAGGATCTTTAGCAGAAAAAAAAAAATATATATATATACACACACACACACACATATATGTGTGTATGTATATGTGAATATGTGTATGTGTAAATTGATACAGTAAATGTGTGTATCTATATCATACATACATATAAAATATATTCATCTAACACACACACACACACACACACACACTCTCGCACACATAAATATATATTTATATCTTTCTGGCCTCAGTTGCTTTTTAAAATCTTTTTTCTTTTTTTAATTGCTTGGTCAAGATTCATATTTTCTACATTAAATTAGAATTAAACTAAACTAATTGGAGTTAAATTCAACCAGTGGATTGCAATTTAGTCACCTGGAAAACAAAGGCATGCACTTTATTAAAAAAAAAAAAAAAGACAGGAAATCCCTTGCAAAGAAGGCAGAAATTACAAAACTCTCACTTATGTAGTCCTCACTTATTTAGAAAGTTATTTGCACAGCAAAAAAAAGAGTAAACTCAGTGCTAAAGGGAATTAATTCCTTCGTGCAAACTAAACAGAAACTTGTTTTTGACATTCCTCAGAGATGATTATTTTATCTTATGTGAACTAGAGCCCATGCAGCACTAGGCAAAACTACCAAAACTAGATCATCTAGGAACTGTCCACAGCTTAACTACATAAATGTAGTTCTCCTCCTGGATCAATTTACCTTCTGCTGCTTGCAGCACCCAGGCGAGCTCCTTTAGCAGTAGTTTAGATACCTCCACAAGCCACTGTCCCTTTAAGCACACTTTTAAGGCTACTTGAAAATTAATATTACATGGCGTTTACGAAGACAGCATAATTTCAAAACAATTATCTTGCATTATCTCCCTAATCTACCAAATTACTTTTCATGAACCTTTTGTCTCGAGCATTTTTCAGATGGTCTRTTGTTTAAAGTGGTTTGAGGGGCAGACAGACTGTCTCTATTTCATACAGTATATAATATTTCTCTTTTCATTTTCATATAAGTAATTGATAACAGTCCTTCTATTTGGAACAAAGACACATATCCATCATCTCTAGAGAAATTAAAGTCTTGTTTGCAAAAATAATTACTTTCCAGAAATCTATCAGAGACAAGACACTTGCAACACCCATGTTTTATTATAACAAAACTGGAAATGTCTTCAAGCAGGAATCCTGACTTTGCCAATTAATTTCTTCCCTGAAATATATAACAGAACTAGCAAATATGAGTCAGAAATGTGTGCACTACAGAAGCATTACTCCAATAATTCTTTTTTATTGCTTTAAAAAAAATGGGTTTTATATGAAGAAGTGTACAAAATCTATTGTTTTACAACTGAGATTTCAGGCCTGGTTATGATCTCTCTTATGTTTTTTCCCCTATTCTGATGATTTATCTTGCAGTAATAAATTAAGTTTCTGTTCTTCAGATTTCAACTAAACTGCACCTGACCTGCTGAAACATACAGTGCTTCTTTGCTAGCTAAATCAGTGGTAAGTTCAAGTCTCAGGGAGATTCTTATACAGTGACTACCTGTTATATTTGCAGAGGTCTTGACAGTGTCAATTTTCACCATTAATGACATGTCATAGTGATGGAAACATGCCTCAGGGTTCGGTAATAAGCTCCATGTATAACATTTTACATTGCTGGTGGCCAACGTTTCTCAGCTTTACAGCTTGAGCTGTCATTTGTGTCTTTTCTCACACATTTGAAAAGTATTTACCAAAACACTGTGCCTAGGTATCGCAGTGTTACTTCATTTAGCATAAACACAAGTGAATTATTACTCATTTGTTAAATATACTTTCACTGTGGCTTGATCGCTCCAAATAACATTCTTTTTCATTTTCTTTTTTAATCATGCTTCAAGGGCAGGGAGATGTTTACAACGTGTAGTTAAAATACTTTGACTGCACTCACTTCCACCTTAGAAAAAGACTCTTAAAACTGGTTAATCACTTTTCTAGTGGGCTGACAACCTCACCAGTTACATGGGGTGAAAGGCTTTGTACAAACTCTTCAGAACAGGCCTGATATTTTTGAAGCTGTTAACAGGACACCAGGCAGGATCCTGTTATAGTGCCCTCCTGAGCCATGTGCTGGGCACCCAGACACGTACAGGCAAAACTGGAAGCAAGGGAACTAATGCTGGGGGCTGCACGAAGCCAATCTGGAGGCTGAATCACATTTGCCCAGTTGGACAGTTCTGATTTGGGCTGTAATTACCCAGGCCTGTGCTGAAAACAATCCACTCCTTTTGCTTCCAGTGTAGGAGCCAAGCTTAAGGAATCCTATTGCATTTGTAACAGTCCACAGTTCTAGTCATGCATAAGGAACCCTGCCGAGGTAAATTTGCCCACCTGTCCTTCACAACTCCTCCTTAATTATTTTTCTTCCTGCTCTCCTTTTTTTTTTTTTTAAGTGTGTGTTTTAAAATGTCTGCAATAGCAACACTGTTTGAGTCTCATTTCACTTCCTGACAGGATGTTAAAAACGATGCTATCTAATCCGTCTTTCTCTCAGGGAGTCAGGTGAAAATGCTGCTTTCCAACAGGTTGGACTTCACCTGTCCTCCTCTCACTGAGTCAGGTGAAAATGTTGCTTTCCAACAAGCTGACACATAATGGGATAATTAGCTGTAATTACACTACTACTTATGGAGTGAAATGAGCACTCCAGGAAAGTTAACAATACATATCACATAGTGAAACCGCAGAAGAAGCTGCAAGAACAATTATGCCATTCTAACACTACCCAACAAGTAAGGACTACAACTGTCACTGTAATCTCACATGTGTCTGGTATCCTTGGAGTRGATTCAAGATGTTATCAGGTTTGTGTTCAAAATCATAACTTCTGCTCTTTCCTCAGCTGACTAGTTACGTATTAAAGATAAAGACATGACAAATGCTCCACAAAGACTTAGTGACAAAGTCTGTGTAAAATAAAGAAACATGAAAGGCATTCAAGCAAACTCTAGGCTTTTGAGAACCCAAATTAAAAAAAAAAAAAGTCTTTGGAAATTAATAAAAATGATATTTACCTCCATCTGCAAATCCTGTTGCAGTGATGATGGGCACAGCAACCATAATCAAACCACAGCAACTCCAGACATACTTCATGAGGAATTGCTCGATCATGATGTACCACAGCCGTTTGGACAAGATGAGGTTCATCTGGTCTGCCAAGGCCTTGTAGCTTTTTTGYAGCTGTTTCATCTCCACCTACAGTTAAAAAAATAAAACATTTGCATAAACCAAGCGAGATGCATACGGTCATACCAGATATATTCACACAAGTGCACAGAATAATCGGGTGTCAGGCTCCTGAATCACACGTGCTGTGTGGTACCTATTTTCACAGCACTGCCTTCTCACAGCGACACTGCTCCACTTCATGGGAGTCTCTGGGCCTGATCCTTATTTACACMCTGTCCCTCAACAGCACAACGGCAGCTTTTCTATTTTTAAGACCTCTAACACACACTGAAACAACACACCAGGCCGTGAGCCCAGCGGATCCTAACAGCCAAAGTAAGATTGATGCTGTAACCTCCTGAYGAAGACGCAGCTGTAGCATTTCACAGCGACTGAAACGCCTCAAATTGGGCAGCATCTGGGGACCAATTACCCACACAGAACAGAACTTGCAGAGCTGATCCCTGCAATGCAATGCTGCTCGTTTCTACAAACCCTCCAGCGGAAGGGGGAATTGTCACAAGAGGCTTAAAACGCCGAGGACGGTTGCAAGTCAGCGTGACATAACGCATCGAGGTTCAAGTCAAGGCAGAGGGGTTCAAAGAAAMGGTTTAATTTAGCTGCACTTAACACAGAGCTCGAGGCAGCTTTGGGAACAGTTGCTTCTATTAAATCAAGCCACTTATATTACATAACTGCTATTTGGAATGAAAGTGGCAGGAGCACTTCAGGCCGCCTTCCCATTTTCATTTTCAGCTTACATGAAATAAGGTTTTGTGCAACAGCAGATTTGAAAAGCGTTTTAGTCAAAAGGCACTTGCAATGAGAGCACGATGCAGCCCATAGGAAGGAGGCTTTAAAATAGTCTACGGGTTTACGTAACGGCAGCTACTGAACTACCGCTCTTAAGCTATTTTAAGACCCTGACTACATCTCTGTTTAGCTATGCAAAACAGTGTCAAGGGCCGTAGTGCTCTCTGTGCTTTCACAAAGTTTTCCCCTAGACTTTCCGGTGCTCCTGGATTTTTTTCCCTTTTCTTTTTTTTTTCCTCTTCCTTAGGGAGGAAAGCTCATTGCAGCACTGAATCTGGCAGCTGCTAAACAAGGACAAAAACGCAAGCCTGGAAAGCTAAACGGACTGCACCGGGTGGGGGAAAAACAACGGGCAAGATTAGCTTTCTACAAAAACAGAGGATACAGCTGCAAAACAGGAACAGCGTCGGAGCAGGAGGGAACTACGCTCCGCTCCCCRCCGGCAGCGCCCGAGAGGCTGCCTTTTCCTAGGAAACGGGAAGTGCCGGCTGTAAACAGCCTTAAACGTCAGCGGGACTCGGAGGTCTCCGGCGGGCGGCCGGGGGAAGCGCGGGCGGCCTCCCCGCCGCCTACCTTGTGCCCGCGGTAGAAGGCGATCTCCTCCACGTTGGCGATGATGCGCGAGTGCATGAAGCGCAGGTAGCCCTTGCGCTGGGCCTCCTCGGCCACCAGCTTGCCGAACTTGGGCGAGCAGGCCTTGAGCACGAGCGCCGTGGCGTAGACRACGAGGCCGGCCAGGGCGGTGGGGCCAATGGGGCTGGCGCCGCGGGAGCGCGCCTTGCGGATGAGCGTGTACGATGTGAGCACCACGTCCAGGATGGGCTTGGTGAGGTTGGAGTAGAGGTGCGCCACGGACTGCGAGAACATCATGATGTCCTCGGTGAGCGACTGGTCGGGGTTGGCCAGCCGCCCGTCCATGTTGATGACCCGGTAGTAGGTCTGGTTGGCGAAGTAGGTCTCATASGCGCGATGCACGAGGCGCGTGCGGAAGGCGAGGGCCAGCTTGCCCTCCAGGTAGCGGATGGCGCTGTTGACGAACGTGGCCGGGATGGCGATCATGAGCCACCGCGTGAGCTGCACCACGAAGCTCCGCGGCTGCTTCTCCACGATGCTCTTGACGATCTTTCCGTCGAGCGCGGCCACGTAGATGGAGAGGAAGGTCCTGGAGATGAGGGCCACGGAGTGGAGGCAGAGCCAGCCCAGCTCGGCGCTCACCAGCCGCGGGAAGAAGAGCTTGCGGAGCGCCAGCAGCTGCCTGAAGAAGTCGGCGTTGAGCGCGGGCGCCGCGGGGCCCCGCT